CAGTAGAGAGCCCCGCTCCTACTGGGTGGTCTCGTTTTCTCGCGTCAAACCAACTTGGCTGAAGCGGGACGTCGGTTTGACGAACCTTTACGCGCCTTGCGTAAGGGACAACCCGTCCGAAGGTGATGGGTGTGTCCTCAAACAAAAAACGCGATCTCACGCGATATGCCTGATTAGGCAGCAAAAACACCCGCAGAAGCTGACGCTTTCGCTTCTTCCTGGAGGGGAACGCAGCTTCTACCGAAGCACCGCACGTGAGTGCCCATTCTCGCGCTTGGTCCCCGAGCTTAGAGATAGCTAGCGCCACGCGCTGTTGCTCACTTTGGAGCATGACGGATGTCAAAGCCATCTAGGCCTCTCTTACCCAGAGCTGAAGAATCTTTCCATTCTTACCCTCAAAGATCTTAATGCTCACCATTAGCGGCCTGGGTCAGAAGGAAGTATCCGCCGTCGACGGTGGCGTCATAGACGCTATCGACGCTGACAGCTTCTGCTGTAAGGTCTAAAGCAGAGCATTTCACGCGCGGGCCGTTGCGCAACGAGGTGCTCCATGCCCTCAGGGCCCAGCAGGAACATCAGCCTATCAAGACCGTCCTGCATGCCCTGGAACAAATAGAAGTATTCCTCCATTCTCAAAGAGGATCAGTCGTAACGACTCAGAGACTACGAGTTCTAACAAGTACAGCGGGGCTGCCGTACCTCTATGCTTAGAGGAAGCTAAGCTAAGGTCACCGCTCTTTCAAAAAACTAGTACTAAGTCTGGCGGATCGCAATCCGCTACTAAAGCCTTACCAAGGCAAAGGAACACTTCTTTTGAGTTCACACACACTTTTTGAAGTCCATCATGGACATCAAGATCCCCTGAACACAAGTTTGTAATAATTGCCGTGTGCTTTTTGTTTCTTCTTGATCTTCGCTACCAGGCGTCCACCTGATGGCGCCAGCTCTTTGAATATACAAACATTATCATCTTGAGATCCATTGCACGAGGTCCTTGTCGAAGGGCTTACCCTTGAAATAAGATGCGCTCGTATGTTTAACCAGTTGATAGGAAGGCACTAAGGTGTAGTTGAAGGAGGCTTAAAGAAAGCCAAAATTTACTTGTATTTAATTATGCCTGAGTTTTACGTCTTCGTCATAACGTTGCCGTAATTATGCTTCGTGAGGAATGTCTTACTTTGCTTGGAACTTGCTCATTAATCTTAGCTTTCGTGACACTATCCCTGTTAGTGGTAGTTAGTAATGTTGAGCCTTACAATTTGCAGGTACCGTATGCGCGATTATTTTCGTGCTCTGGTACGTCGATCAATGGACCAAGAAGATGCCAACCTCCGTCCACGTGCATGGTGTCACCAGTTATGTATGCACCTGCAGGAGACAAATAATAGAGTACGCTGGCGGAGACTTCTTCGACGCTCCCCATCCTCTTCGCAGCTGTGATTTTTTCAGCAGCATAGACGAACATCTCAGCCCCACTAGAATAATTCTCAACACCGCTCGAAAGGATGATACCCTGGAAGAAATGACAATACAAAATTCATCAGAGTGGGTGCAAATGACTAAAGGAAACTTACAACACTTATTACCGGTGCAACACAATTGAGAGTAATGCCGGACGATGCCCATTCTACCGACAGTGATTTAGACAGATTTTCGATACCTGCGCGAGCTGCGGCACTGTGTGCAAAGCCTGGATTTCCATTGTTTGAAACTATGATAATGTTGACGATACTGCCGCCGTGCTCCTTCATGTAGGCGTGATAAACCTTTTTAGTCATAAGAAAAGTCCCATTTCTACATGAGATTGTCAAATCTTAGCTGACAAACTTTTATTAACAAAAAACATCAATTTTCCTTACAGATTCGTATCCATCACAGCCTTCCAACCCTTAGGAGACAAGTCTTCAACAAGCGAACGAAATTGACCACCAGCTGCAAGCAATAAATTGTGATAATAATAATAATTTTCTTCGAACGGATTTATCATCGTACCATTGTTTACAAGAAAATCTACGCGTTTGAAAAGTACCAACGTCTCATCTACCAGGTTTGAGACTTGTTCTTCATTGCGAATATTGCACGCAATCGCGTGTACCGATCCCACAGAAGACGGACAAGCAGACTTCACATCTGCTTGAATTTTGTCTGCTGCAGCTTTGAGTCGTTCAAGGTTCCTACAGAAACAGTATACGATCGTTGTTATGGTAAAAATGGATCGCTCAAGGTTATTATCACTAACCGAGATGCAATCACGACAGTGCAGCCAAGGAACGCCAGCTCGTACGCAATGCTCTTTCCAATTCCAGTGCCACCGCCTGTCACGATGGCCTAGTCCAATACTGCTGATTACAATCTTCTTCAATCTACTCACACAAGCGATATGCTCACCACTTTTCCATTGAATAGACCAGGTCTGTAGATGCTGAGCGCTGGATTCCGCGTTGGATTCATTATCACTGCTGGTTCATCTCAGCATTTATTGGCAGAAATCTAGTATTTCAACAATGATTAAATACTTTTATATCCAATGATTGATTGTCTCTTGAGTCATGCTTGTCAACATTGCAAACTTATGGACATGCAAGAGTCATACTCTTACGCTCCTCTAATGTTCTCAGCTTTGATGAGCTGCTAAAGTATTGATCCTTCTTAAAAGTCAGCTAATTATCTCACGGCATCGTAACGATTCAGACGATTCTTAGAGAATACAATCTGCACGAGCTGAATGGTGCGGGCGCGGAATCCTGCAGCACAGTAAAGCAAGTAGAAGTCCCACATGCGGCAAAACACCTCTGGGCGGTCAATGTCGCCCTTTTTTAGGTGGTCTTGGAAACGTTCGTGCCAGCACATAAGCGTCTTGTCGTAGTCTGGACCCAAATTATGGACGTCCTCAACAATTAATTTGCGTTCCGAAAAAGTTATCATCTGCGCCACAGAGGGCAGAAACCCATTAGGAAAGATGTACTTGAGAATCCAAAGCTGAACTGGCACTTCGATAGAGCGATTGGCAGCAATGCCGTGCACCAGAGCAAGACCATTGTCTTTAAGACAGCGTTTTATCACATCATAATACTCGCCCAAGTTTTTATACCCAACAGCTTCAATCATTGCAACTGACACAACACGGTCAAATTGGCCATGCATCTTGCGATAGTCACAGTATTCAAAGCTTGTGAGATCGCTCACATCTTCGCGCTCGGCCCACTCGCGAGCACCTTTGAGCTGCTCGTTCGAGATGGTTATTCCGGTGACATGTACACCGTACTCTTTGGCAAGAAAGCAGCCAAGACCACCCCATCCACATCCGATCTCAAGTACTCGCATGCCTGGCTCAAGTTTCAGCTTTTGAGCTATTAGATGCAGCTTGTTGCGCTGTGCCGCATCAAGGTCATGCTTGTCCTCAATATTCTTCCAATAGGCACAAGAATATTGCATGTACGGGTCTAGCCAGAGCTTGAAAAAGTCGTTGCCCAAATCGTAATGGTGGGCTCCGACAATCCCAGCACGTGACGGTGACTGGTAGTTAAAAATTTTGCCACCTAATGCAATGAATTTGGCGTTCCAGGCTTTAAAAATTTTGCGGCGCTTGTCAACGGGCAGTGATAGCAGACGCGTCAGGACTTGATCCAGCGGGATGATAGCATCCCATTTTTTGGCCATGTAGGACTCTCCAATGGCCAACATACCGTGGTGTACCCAGTCGAGAAAAATGTCTTTGTCGTACACACGAATATCGCGGTCGATGATAATGTCTGCGTCCGCCAGCATATTCTTAATGAAAGTAGCTGCTCGTGCCTGTAATACAGGACGCATAGCTGCCCTCAGCAGATACGAACTAGCAGTTAAGCTCGTGACGGCTGCAGCAGCTACCAAAGCATTTTTCTGCTTGTCTGACATTGCGGCACTGAGTTACGCTTCGTTTGGTCAAGAAAATCTTTAATTGTGAGTGCATTGAAGCGATTGGACTGGCTTGGCTTCACGGATGGCTCATGGAATCTGAGGCTATGATCAGATGTACGGAATATTGTAGGAAATATGATTCGGATTAGTAAGCAATTCATGAAGCCAAACACCATAATCGCAAATATTCCAAACATTATCTTGATAATGCAAACAAGAAGAACATTGTATAGCTTCGTCGTATAGTTTGGTTGGGACTCATATCACCAGCATTCCCAACCTTGAGCGACACTTATATCATTACATCACCGAGTTGTTGATACCAGGAAGTGACGAGCGTGACGCTTCAGCTCAAAGTAATCCACAATAAAGACCTTCAGTACGTAGTAGCTCAATACTATAAATCCATGAAAAATGAATACTTTTTCACTTTGTTACTTTTCAATCGAGTCAAATTACCCAAATCGTTATATAACATGGGGGCCAAACAGACGCGCGTCGTGACAGCTGAGGCAGCTGCAGAATTGCGTCCAGAGGATGAACGAGAGAAGGAGACACAAGCTTCCATTTACCTTACGCCGGCACTTATTAATCAAATAAATGGCGCACAAGGAGCTGCTCCAAAGGTCAAGGAACAATGGGGGGAATTCGACGCACAGTACGTTGTCATCAGAACGATCATTGGGTTGTACATTTGATAATCGTTATTGGATACTTTCTGCAGGCAGCAGGCTGTCATCAAGAAACAACTACAAATGGCTTATGCTAAGGTTCCAATTGGTAGACGATGAATGGAAGTTGTTCTCTGACGAGAGATTTCTTGACAATATTTTTAGGGTGTTGATGATTGCCGAAGAAAAATGGAGTCCGAACTGAAGCGAAATTCGCAGGC